AGGGGTGTGGGGCATGTGGGAATGTGAGCAGTCAGCAATGACTCTCGGGCTTTGGCCTGAGCACCTGAAGGCTGTATTTGACCTTTTCGGAGATGGGAAAGGGTACAGTGGTCTTTGTGCAAGTTCTTGTTATCAGGTATACAGGAATGAGATCTCCCTTTATGGCCTTCCTGGGCTTTTTTTTTTTTTTTTCAGAGATTGACACAAATGACGCCATGGACAGCTTCTGTTTTCGTTTTAAGGGAGAAAAGTTACCAGGTCTCAGTTTAGGACACATCAAACTGGAAAAGCTGGGCTGACCCCATAGCCTAGATAAATTCCAATGGCAGACTGGTTTGCATCCTGACCCTGGCAGCTTGAAAATTATGTCTGATGCATTTACGTGTGTGCTCAAAGTCCCAGAAGGATGGGGAAATGGAGAAGAAATTGTAATGTGACCACACCCCTTGAAGGGTGCTTTCTTCTCCTTCTCTCCCTTTCTCCTCTTCTCTCTCACATGGCGAGAGCATGCACCCTCTGGCAGGGAAATGAATAATGCTTATTAGACACCCAAAAGGTAATGCTCAGTGGCATGTCTGGAGTCCAGGCCAGAGGGCCTTCAGGACTGGAGCTGTAAGCTCTATGAACTACTCTATGTCTTTAGAGTAACTGAAGACACTGACTCACGTGCAATGTTGGAAAAGTGATGACTATGAAAAATACTGAAATGGCATTAGGGAAGTCAAATTTAAAAGTTCAGCCATATCCTGCCACCTTAAAAACAGTTGCTTTCTGGGTGGGAGAAGAGAAGAGTATAGAGAAAGATAGCAAGAGAACAAATAGAGAGGCACGACATTAGTAAGACACAGATATGATTTATTATCTGGTGATGATGACGTGTATAGTATTCTCAACTGGATTGGTCTGAGAAGTATTTCATGTCGGGTAAAGTCTTTTTACAAGCAAAATGACAAATAGTGATTGACTATTTAAAAAAATAATTGGAAAAATAATAACAATAATAACGATCGGGAAAAATAACGAAAAGCTATTGGATTGGATGATGAAATGGGGATTTTAATGTCTCTGTATTGACTGATATGTATGGTATTCCTTCTGGAAAAAGAAATGTAATACACTGTAAAGTTATATGTGATTCAATGTAATATAAACAAGATTATGATGATAATAAATAAATGAATTGAACTGTACAAAAAACAAAAAAAAAAACAGTTGCTTTATGGGACCAGCAGGTGACGTAGTGGTTAAGATGCAGCACCTGGGACCAGCAGGTGACGTAGTGGTTAAGATGCAGCACACTGGATCCTTGCTTTTCTATACTTGTATGTCTTTGTGTGTTTGTTTTTATGTTTATATCTTTTTAAAAATAATTATTTTTATTAACTTTATGTATTTATTTATTTTAATTTGGCCAGAGATGGACAGAGTGAGAGAGAGAGAGACAGTGAGAGAGAAAGCCAGCCGCCAGGCCCAGGACTCAAACCATGGTCGGCCATGTGGGAGTCCAGCACCCTCAACCAACATGCCACCTGCTCTGACCCCTATTTTTATGTTTATTTCTAATCCAGATCCTCCCCCCAGTAAACATGTTCTGCTGAGAGGGTCCCAACAGACTTCTACATGAATGACTGTAGTTCAAGTCCTGGACCTGGCAACTTGATAAATCACTCCTGGCAGGGATGCACATGTGCCCCAAATCACAGGAGAATGGTGGAAGAGGGGTTGGGGTGTGGCCTTATGCCCTGAGAGGTGACTTATTTTCCTTCTCACTGTCTCTCTCCAATGAGAGCATGTGCCCTAGGGGGGAAAAAGGAACACATAAAAATCTCTAAAACAAAGAAAAACCAGTTGCTTTAATTTCTCTACATTTCCCTGTGTTTTTGCCCACATACACACCTAATAATATAATGTAATTGTAGCATAGATTCAATTTCATGTTCTACTTTTTCCCACTTAGCAAGATCTGGTAAACATTTTCCTAAGTGGCTCCCTTGTGTTTCACGAGGATTAAAAAGGTCAACAAAATGGGCATTGCTGAGAAATTTTTAGAAACAAGCCAGAGGGAACTGGCAATTAGCGTAATGACTATGTCGCTGGACTCCCACGTAGTTGACCGCAGTTCGCGTCCCAGACCCGGTGGCTTAAAACTCATGCCAGGCGCGTGTGCGTGCGTGCCCAAGATCCCGAGAGGAGAATGGAGGAGAAGGGATTGCGGCGTGGCCATCCCCTCTGGGGGGGTGATTTCTCGCTTTCTCTCTCTCTGTCTCTGTCTATCTGGAGAGTGTGTGCGCCCTATAGCGAAAAACCTCTCAAAAAAGAAATAAAATAAAAAAGAAGCCAGAAATCCTACTTTGATACGAAGCTTGGTGCCCCAGAATGGGCATTGTGCTTAGGGTTATCTTCCTAGAATATGATACTAGCAAAGTAAGGAGAGTAAGCCCTGCTCTGATCTGGAGAGGCACACTCTAGGGCAGAAAGAGGGAAGAGTGGAGGCACATAAAAAGGGGTTGTTGGAAGATTCATTCTGACTGACAATTAAATAGAAATCAAATGTATTATATCTTTGTAACACTTTTAGGAACACTTTAGTTTAAACTACAGAAGAGTGGTCCACTCTTCCTCTGGGATTCTCTACCAAAGAAGCCATACAGAATAATTTATAGTATAGTGATTTCTCAGAGAACTAGTGGTTCTTAAAGGTTCAGGGCCTCATAGTATACACAAGCACCTCATGGAATCCCATTCATTCATTCCAGTCTCTAACCCAGATTCCATGTCTAGCCCCTTAACTTATAGAAAAGGCTGGAGATTCAAAGGGAGATGATTTGTGCAGATCACATCACTACCTTGTACAGGGTTTTAACTAAAGTTCCATTAGTTCCATTCTCTCCATCGAAGACTTAAAAAAAAAATGGGACCAGCCTTTGGTGTAATGGCTATGTCGCTGGACACTCATATAGTCAATTGCAGTTCGAGTCGTGGATCCGGTGGCTTAAACTCACACCGGGCACATGTGCGTGCGTGCCCAGGATCCCGAGAGGAGAATGGATTGCGGTGTAACCATTCCCCCCCCCGGGGGGGGACGATTTCTCTCTTTCTGTCTCTGTCTTTCTGGCAAGCGAGCGCACGCACCTATAGCAAAAATCTCTCCAAAAAAAAAAAATTGCTAGAGGGTGCTCGCTTGCCTGCAAGAAGATACACACGCACTGAGAGAGAGAGAAGTGAAAAGGCATCCCTCTCTGGGAGTCAGCAACACCACTCGCAACCAGAGTGCCTATCCTTGTGTAGGTCTAGGACTCCAACAGCGCTATCTGCCATGTGGGATCCAGCCACCTTAAACATCATGCCACACGATGGCCCCATTCATCAAAGACTTTTTCTAAACACAAAACATGACTCCGTGCGCACGATTTTGCCGTTGACAAAGCCCTTTATTGGCTGGGAAAGTCTCCCTCCCCGACTCACCTATATAAGGCATAGGGTACTCAAAAGAGAAGCCCTTTCATTCGTTCGACTCTGGGCCCCAAAGACGAGGAGCTGGTTCACGCTTCCTCCTAGAGCCGGCAGGGGGTGCACCAGGCAAAGTTTGTAAGCCGCGCCTCCTCCACCCCTCCCTTCCTCCTCCAACTTCCCCATAGCCACGGCTTCACATAAATGTGGCCATTGACCTTTTAAGCTTTTGAGTAGCGTGATGCAATAGAGCAGTATTTCAAAGAAAAATGGTTATCAAAATTTTGGATCCGGTTTTCCCATGAGCGTTAATGATTATGAAAAAGTAGGTCACATTTAAAGTAGGTCACATTTCGGGGACGAGCGTACAGGAAAAGATATGTTTCCACTCAGGCCAGGTGGCCTGCAACCGGATGGGAGGTGAGAGTCCCGGGTAGAGGAGAGGTACGGGCATCCTTTCGAATTCCCGGCCCTGGGAACCAGCCCGGCAGCGAATCGCTGAGACGAGCGTTCTCCGGACTGCAGACTCCGAGGCCTGCCATCCGACACCGCTGGGGGGCGCAGCTAAGGGCGCCCACTCAGTAGTAGCCAGTGCAGGTGAGCCGGGACGGCCGCGGGCCTCCGGAAGGAGACAGTGGAGTTAGCTGGGGAGGAAGGGCGGAGCTGGGCTGGGCAGGATCTGGGGAGCGTGAGCCCAAACGCCAGGGGGAGGGGACTGAGAGCAGCCCGTACCGCTTAAGGAGGCACCTCTCTGCGCGGCTCGCTGCCTTCTAGGACCAGGCGTGGGGACCGCCGCTGGCAGCTCCCTCCGGCCTCCTGGCGCCGGCATCTGGGCCGAGCCGGGCGTGCCCACTCCATCAGCATGGCAGAGCCTGAGGGGCCGAGAACTCTCAGTCTCTGCTGCACTCCTTCACCCAATGTGTGGCCTGGAGGGTCGCGTCGAGGACGCACGGAGG